TTAAAGTTGTTTAAGTTAAAACAAGTTGATTCATATAGTTTTTTAATGTTCATGCTTATAAAAAATGTTGAGAAGCCTAAATTGTTTGGTCTTTGAGAAAACAGTTTGGACCAGAAACCTTAGAATTAAGAAATTGAATAAAGGTGAAAAGTACTTAAAGGTCACTTGTGATAATGCAGGTGGACAGAATAAAAATAACACCACCATTTGGTTTTATTTATATTTAGTAATTTGTGGCTATTATGAAAGTATTGAATTGAATTTCATGGTTCCAGGACACACCAAATTCAAATGTGATGGTAATTTTGGCATGATTAAAAAACTCTATAGAAGAACAAGAGTAGATTGTCTAGATCATGTGGTTGAGGTGATAAAAAAGTCTAGTCCAGCAGGATTAAATAAAGCTCAGTGTTATGAAGGTGGAAAAGGTTTTCAATACTTAGATATTAAAGCTATTTTGGGATTTATTTCAAAAAATTACCAGGTATCCAGAAATATCAACATTTTCTTTTTGAAGCAACTAATCTTGGTATGGTCGAAGCTCAGGAAATTGCTAATGGACCTTTTACTGAATTCAATTTATTGAAAACCAAGAAAGCAGATATTTTTGAAGAAATTAGAGCTTTATCTATTTTAGTGTTAACAACACCCACCTCCTATGGATTACAAAAAACAAGAGTATCTTTACCAGAGTATTCACCCATTTGTGAAAGATGAATACAAGATATTACTTGTCCAAGACCATTCTATACTGGCAACAAATAAAATATTTAGAATAAAATCATCTCCATGACTTTATCACTTAGTTAATTTGTCATTAAGTTTATCAAGTTTGGTTTTTTGACAAATATTGTTAGCTTTTTCCACCTTTAAAGTAAAAAAAGTACTAAAATAATTTATATACTTAATATACACTCATAAAAAGGATACAAGTATATTAAAAAAATAAATAAATATAAAGTAATAAAAAGAAAGTCATGACAAACATTATAAGTGAACTCCAGGAAAGTAATAAACAACTATTGGAAGAAAAATGAAAATTTAAAGAAGCAATTAGCAGATAAAGAAGAAAATCTTAAACCAAAAATCTGACATGTCGCTGGTCAGTCTATTGATGAAATGGTGAGGTTAGCATGCATGCTCCTAGGGGAACATTATGGTACAAAAAATTAAACAAAAAATGGATTGATGAAGATAAACTTAGAATGGCAGTAGATCCTAATGAAACTAGGGAATGAGCTAAAGGTTGTAAAAGAATTTGATTTGATAACATTACTATTGAAGAAATGTTAGAGGGATTTATTGAAAGTTCAAATGAATTAGGTGGTAGTTATGCTGAAATCTATTCTAGAGTAAGCAATTTAATAATCAATTGAATCAACCAAAAAGAGATTATGAAGAGAAGATAGCAGAGTTGGAAGCAAGCAAGAGTAGAAGAGTTAGATGATGAAGTATGAATTGAGTGAGAAAAGGCTGAAAAAGCACTAAATAAAGCCATGGAATGAAGAGATGACAAATGTTTGAAACTTTGTTGAAGCATGATGCTGCAATGGGTAAACTTTAAGACCAAATAGATTTATTAGAAAATAATTTAGCTGCTAAAATCAGGAAATAAACTGAAAAGATTATTTAGTAACTAAAGAATTACCATCTTTACCAATGCAACAAAAAGAAAATAGATTATGCAAACTCAAAAAATTAGTAAATAAGGCAAAAGAAAAATTAAAGAGAAGTTCCAGATTTTTATTGTTCAAAAGAACAAGCAAGCCAACATGAGATTAGAATATAGAATTCTGGAAATAGCCCAAGGAAATGAACAAGAGTGTAACTTCTGCTTTCTAGATTTTGATGACCCAACTCTCCTTAATTTTGATACTGCTCCTGTTACTCATCAAATGATGGCCCATAATACTCCTGATGGTTATTCTGACATTGTCTTTATCTGTGGTGAATGTAAAAAAGATTATGATAATAATACTCTTCCATGATGTGAGAAATGTGGTAGGTTAAAAAGGAATAGAAACAGATGTTTTTGTAGTCATTTAAAAGCTAAATCAACTAAACCACTTTCTGACAAAGAACTACTTTCACAAGCTTTCAGTTTTCACCTAGAAAATAAAACTAGAGAACTAGAAAAAGAGTTATCAATTACCAAAGAAGAATTAAAAATTGAAAGAGAAGAAGTAGCCAAATTTCAGGAAAAATCAGAAGAGTGAAGTAAAAAGCAAAAATAGGGGCTATTAGATAAGATAAAGAGTTTAGAAGAAAAAATTAATCATCTATGATACTTTCTTTTTCCAACATTTATTATTTTTCTTTCTTCTTGGTAAATTTCATAGGTAATATTTTCTTTTCTTAGATAAGCTTCAAGTATCATTTATTTTGAAAATCTAAGGAGCAATCTTTTCCCTTGTTCCTCTTTAGAATACTTCTGATAGTACTATAATTCTTGGGTTCCATTGTAATAGATCTGATATAAATCAACTTCATATTATTATTTTGGTGTAGGGATAGTTCTATATATCACTTAAGATAACAAATGGGATATTATAAAAACTGTTAATTATGATCACATTACAAATGACTAAATATTGATCCCTGAAATCTTACCCCGTATAATAAGTGGTGTGACTATACCAAATCAAATTACGAATTATGCAAATGCATAAATCTGGTGAATCAATCATTTTTTTTTCTTTCCAAAACTTTCAAAAACTATGATGGTGACTAATATTTTCATACGTGTGTGTATAAACGTTTGAAGGCTAATCACCACCACCATCGCCAATGTATATGTTTAGATTAGTTTACAACAATTTTACAAAATGAAGACAGTTGATCTGGTTCTCGAGGCTCTTAAAATGAAGAAGACTGATGGTCCTGCCCTAATCATACAGCAGAACGATTCGGTTTTTAGCACTGCAAACAAAGGATGAAATAACATCGCAGAGGCAGTGTCATAAGTCACATCACTATTAATGGCGGAACAGATATCGATAATAAAAACACAATCTTCATATTCCAAAAGTCTGAAGAATTGGCCGATTGTGTGCATATATACACAGATTTCCTGTTTAAATTTAATCTCTTTGTGTTTTGAATCCTTTAATATCGAATTTCTTTCGTTTCTTTTTGCTAAATGACACACCGACAAGCAGGGTTCCCATATATTGCTCACGCTGTAATTATTAGAATAAACGAACTTTTAGAGTCAGGAAGTTTCGAAGTGGAAAGATATGATTATCAATTCAATTGACCGTGATTATAATCCATAGTGATGACGATATATTCTTTTTTTACTAATTTTTTAGTAACAAGTTGTCATCGCAATAAATTTTTTAAACTCAAAAATATTATATAAAATATAAAAAGAAATTATTCGATATTGGTTGAGATTGGGATAATTCACATATTTGTTGTTTATTAACAACAATTTACTTTCTATAATGAACACAAATGGTAAAATCATATGAGAATAAAACATTGATAGCAACATGTACAAATAATAATTTATTCATCGAACCATTATTAATATTTCTTCACGTAAGCATTTTACATGCAATGCAAAAAAAAAAAAAAAAAAAAAAAATGTAATTTATTATTTAATTTTATTTTATTTATTTTTATAAACAAAAAGAGTATATATATATATATATGTATATTTATAAAAAAAAAAATAATAAAACAAACAAATTATATATATATATATATATATATAAGTAAAAAAAGAATAATTATAACAAAAAATATATTAATTAATTAATTCAAAAAAAGAAAAAGATATTATATTACATTGAAAAAAATCTTTCATTAACTAATTGTAAATTAAAAGATTAATTTTCTTTTTTTTTAAAAGGATAAAATAAAAAAAAATAAAAATACTAAATAAAAATACTAAAAATACTAAAAATACTAAAAATACTAAAAATACTAAAAATACTAAAAATACTAGGGAAAAAAAAAGTATATACGTATGTATGTGTTGATTAATATTTATATTATATTATATATATTATTATAAAAACTATATTATTAAATATTAGCAAACTGACTCAAAACGTCTAGAATCTATACCAAGCCCAGAATTAGACGACGATGATGTTGTTGTTGGCGAAGTTGTTGAAGAAGTTGTGGATGTGTTATTGTTACTAGTAGTAGTACTATTAACGGGATCTTTTAAACCTGATTTTGCAATAGCAGAATAAGAAAGTGGAGTTTTTGGTGTATCGTTATTTGAGGCTGAAGAGGTGGAAGAAGAGGAAGAAGGTGAAGACGTAGTGGTAGTAATAGGCGATGTTGGTGATGATGGCGTAGAAGATGATGCGATCGTAGTTTCTTTATTATTATCATTAGCAGTAGCAGTAGCAGCTTGTTTAGTATTATTGTTATTATTATTATTTTGTTGTTCATTTTTTTCAACTTCCATGGAAAAGAAAGGTTCTTCATCTTGTGCAAAAGGACTAAATGGATCAGGCGTAAATGAACGAACTCTGTTATTATTGGTATTATTAGCACTGTTAAGATTACTAATAGCTGGATTGGTAGCAGTAGTAATATTATTACTATTTTTAATATTGTCAACAGTATTGGTGATAAGACCATCAACACCACCACTGTCACCATTAATAATACTATCATCATTAGTGACGTTGGCATTAATACTAATTGGTCTGCTTATTACACGAAAATCGCTAAACAATGATGATGAGTTTGTGCTTGTCGAATGATTTTCATGTGGTGAAGGGATGTTGATAGGACTGCTAAAATTCATAAAACCATTTGCTGATGACGATGATGACGGAGAGGGTAATTGATGATAATGGGGGTGTTGTTGCTGTTGTTGTTGTAATTGTAATTGCTGCATCTGTTGCAGTTGCAGCTGTTGTTGATGATAAGGGCTTAAAGGACTTAAAGGTTGACGATCACTCCATTCATTAATATTATTATTAATGTTAATGTTATTAATGCTATTAGGTAAACGTTGAATATCATCATGAGTTATCGAAGCAGAAGAATAATTAGAAGAAGCTGGACCATCAACAAAGCCGTATGGTAAAGAACGTACAGTTGAATGATGAATATGTGATGGGTCCACTGCGTGATGAGAGTTGTAAGCATATTGAACGTCAGAAGGATGTAAAGAAGAAGAATTCGAGAACAATCTTCTAGAACTAATTATTTCCAAAGTTTCTTCCTGTCTACTACGTCTTCGTTTACGTTCATCTGGGGTTAGTAAATCGTTTAGCGAGGAAGGGATGAATTCTTCGTAATCAACATCATCAATTAATGGTGACGATTCTTGAAGATGATGATAAGAAGAAGAATGATGATGTTGATGTTGTTGTTGATGTTGTTGATGTTGTTGTTGTTGTTGTTGATGTTGTTGTTGTTGTTGTTGTTGTTGTTGTTGTTGATAATTGGTCATAAGTTGTAGTTGTTGTTGTTGACGAATATTTTGAGAAAGGGAAGTATTATTATTATTATTGTGGTCAAGATAACTGCTAGTGAAACTATTATTATTATGAACATGACGATCTTCTGGAATACTGTGAAGTTGTTGGAAAGAAGAAGAAGTTGGCGAAAGTATGCCACTTTCAGAGTAAGAGGAGAAGGGTAAAAAGGATCCTTTTGTTCTAACATTAGATTGGTAGGGTGAGGTGCTAAATGGATCTAGATGACTTGGTTGCGAAATATCAGGCAAAGATCTACGTTGTTGAAAATTAATATTAATCGGAGCACTTAAATGGTTATTGTCATTGCCATTACCACTGTTAAAGCCAATAAATGTTGGTGAAGTGGTCCTTAATGATCTAGAGGAAGGTGAGTAGTTATCATCCGAGTACAATGGAGGGGCAGAAGATGGATTCAAAGATGCGGTTAATTGGCTATGAGATCTATGACTATTTTGATATTCAGTTGGACTTAATGGCATACGAGAGAACGGAACCATTCCAGGTGAATTGGATGATGAAAAATCGTTTAATTCTTGTTGATTATTATTACCGTAACCTTGAGATACAGGTGATCTAATAATCTCAGGAATATTATTAATTCTTAATCCATTAATATTTTTACCATTATTATTAGGGTTATTGTTAATTTGTTTGGTAGAAGTTTTTAATGGTTGATTGTGAGACAGAGCACATTTATTGCCAAATTTACAATTCCCCTTTAAATAAAATTTGCAGACATAGTTATCAGCTGGAGGATCTTTACTATGCAAAAATTGACAATTTTTTCCAGCAGTACATGCACTACTTTTAAAGAATTTACAAGGAATATGAGCCAAGTTACTATTGCCTTTTTTTTTAAAAAAAAAAAAAAGAAAATTAATTAAATAATTGATGATATCACAGGAAAAAATTAAATAAATCACAGATCAAAAAAAATGACATACTTTTTGAATTATTATTATTATTATTGTTATTATTATTATTATTATTATTATTGATGGAATTATTAATGTTGTTGTTTGAATTTGTTCTTACTCTTCTAGGAGGTTGATTTGACAAAAGTGAGGGTGGCGGAGGAGGAACACTGTTAGTTGGAGTAACAGGAGCAGAGATTGCTTGAGAGATGGGACTATCATTGCCACCATTATTATTGTTGTTGTTGTTGTTATTTACAGAGTCAGGTTGAAACGATGAAAAAGAATCAGCGGATGAGGTAGGACTATGATGAGTGGAAGGAGAAGTTACTATTGAGGGTACATGAAGAAAATTATTATCTATTGGTTGTTTGCTATAATATTGAAATTGTGAAAGGATCGGAGGATTTGGTAAAGAGCTAGCATGCATGATTGAAAAATAACTTTTTGATGAGTTTTTTCTAATATTTCTTTGACATATATATTTTCTAAATAGTTAATTTTACTAATTAAATTATAAATTTTTTTCTAATTGATAAAATTTTTGTTGGTTGATTTTTTTTGTAGTCGTAACCGTTATATTTTAAAAATTGTGTGAATCTTGAGAAAATTTTCTAAATTTTTTTTTTAATTTTAATTTTTCTCCTAATAAAAAATATATATTTGTGTAATATAAATATATTTAAAAGAGAAAAAAGTAAATTTCCTTTGAAAGAAGAAAAATATTATTTAATAATAATAATAAAAGATGAAAAAAAGAAAAAAGACGAGTAATGAGTAGAGAATTTTGTGAGAAAAAGAGTTGGTGAGAGAGAGAGAAGAAAGAAAAAAAAAATGAAAACAAAAAAAAAGGTCAAAGCATACAAATCCAAAAAAAGGGACAGAAAATTTTTTATATTTAGAATAGAATATAGATTAGTAAATGGATAATATTATTGTAATTAAAATTCTTTTTTTTTTTGTAAAAAAAAAGTTTATATTTTGATGAATTTTGTTGCCGATTATTTAACGTGTAGAATAACCATGACATTTATTATAATTGTAAATGAGAAATATAAAATGGCGATATTCGTGAGCGTGTAACCTTTAGTCAAGATTTATACTATAAAAAGAATATGAACCTATTAAAAATAATTATTTTGTATTTATTGTACTATGAAAATGATTTTTTTGTTTTGAGTATTTATAAATAAAAATAAATAAATAAATAATAAATAATTTTTTAGTAACAAAAAAAAAATTTTTAATTGTATTTTTTAAAATTAAAGGGACTTTTTTTATATAAGGAGTTTTTTTTTAAACTTGGTAGGAGTTTTAATTTAAAAATTGATAATAGTTTTTTTAATTAATAGCTTAAATAATAAAAAAGAAACTATAGTTTTATTTGTGTTAATTAAATAGTTTATTTATTTAATTTAAAAGCTTAATTAGTTAATAGTTTATTTATTTGGATAGTTCGGTTAATTAACAAAAATATTAAAATATAACACATCAACAGTTAAATTAATTAATTAATCAATCAATCAAATATATATACAATAATAATAATATTTTTTTGGTGAATTTCTTTATATGGAATTAACACAAAAAACATAATAAAAAATTTTTTTAGAATTATCAGAATCAAAAATTAAAAAATCATTTAATTTTTTCGCGCCAAAACAAAGAACAAAAAAATGAATGTGTATGTGTATGTGTATATATATGAACATGATATTTAAGAAAAAAAAAGGGAGGAAAATAAAGTTGGCACTAAATAATAATGATAACAATATTTTAAGAAAAATCAATAATAATAAATTAAATTAAATTAAATGGTAAAAAATAATGGAAGAATTGGTTCTTGTGTAATCGAGAAAAAAATTAAATTAAAAATATTAAAAATGTAAACTATTATTATTATTTGATTTTTTTTATATATGCATTTCTTTGATATTACTTTTGATGCATACATACATACATACATACATACATACATACATACATACACTGTCTGTATAATAATAAACAAAAAAAAAAAAATAGAATCACTTCACTTCACTTTACCAATTAGAAAAAAATTAATTAATTAATTAATTCGTGTAACGATAATGACGTTAACCAATCAAATCAAATACTTTTTGACGTTAGGTAGTTGGTAAATTGGGAGTTTTGACTTTTTTGATCCAACAAGAAGAAGATATTCAAAGCAATAATAATAATAGCAGACATTCATTCATCCATTATACGACACCCAATAAATTTTTAGGTCGTCCGTCGGCACATTTATGATGACGATGAGTGGAAGGGTTGGATTGGGAGACAAGATTCAGGGAGGATTTGCTACATCGTTTAATTTCAACTCGATTCGAACTCAACTTAAATAATTATGCAACCCGCAATGAGATTATAAATGTGAATAAATTGAATGCATAATTTAAAAAAGTATTAGTATGAAAAAATAATGAAATGTGAATTTTGAATTTTGCAGTATTTAAAAATCATTGGATCTTTATTTATGCGATTTTTATTATATCCGTAAACAAAATAAAAACACAAACAAACATAATATTAATTCTAATATATTAATAACAATAATTAATTATTATTTATTTTTTTAATTTAATTTTAATTTTTTTTAATTTTTTAAAATCGCAACTTTATGTTTTTGTATTCAAACTCTAAAATCAAAAAAAATCAACATTATTCATAGTATCGGATAAAAAAATTCCTTTATTCACTGAAAATATTTTTAGCATTTGTTTGTTTTGATTTTTTCCATATTTTTATTTTGAAAAAAAAAACTGTATATAATTAATAATCACACGGCACAACGTAATCATATAAACAAGCACGAAATCATCTAATTTTTAAAAATAAATCATTATAAATCATAATCTTCACCAATCAATCATTCTATTGGTTGTGTATGTTTACTCCTTTAGATTGGAAAAGTCATCTATTATTTAGTTCGGGAAAAGGTTTTTAAGTCCGGAAATAAAAATCACGTTCTCATATATAGTGTTCCTCCCATATATTCATATCTCTTATTAGAGAATATTCGAAAGTATTACCAATATCCGTAATAGATATCTGTAACACCTTTGGATATCCGTGATACTTTCAAAAACTTAATATTCATAATGTCAAGTATTAATTGTAGATACAAAATATTATCAATCATTTAATTTATAAAGTTTATTATATTTCCTGTTTCATCAAGTTTTGGTTTTTTTTATTTGGTAGATTACATGATCTATTAATAACGGACTTTGCTGGAAAATTAAGTTTGTTCCTTCACCTTCATCATCATCACTAATAATAATACAATCATTTACTAAAGACATTTTTATTCAATAATTTGAAATAAAAAAAATTTCATGTGAGCATTTTAAATAGTAGATACAGCCACTCAATGATCAAATGCGATCAATCTTCAAAGGTTCATATTGAATATAAACAAAAAAAAATTTATATTTTTTTACAGATATTTACTTATTTATTAACGTGAATCACAAATATTAATATCGACATTTTCAGTGACAAAAAAAAAATTAATTCTTTGTTTTTTTCTTCACCCTCACTATAGTTGGCTTGGTAAAAGTATAAAAGTCATTCTCTGACCTACCTTTTAAAAAAAATAGCTCTATTAGTTGATAGAATAGATCTTTAATTTTAATGTAATAGAAAGATTTTCTCAAAAAAAATATTGGTTGTATATAGAGTTCTATTCTTTTTTAAAACATGTACTTTACTATGTTCATGAGGAATTTGAGCGCTAGGATCATTGTTAAATTTAGTCTAGTTTTCGATCATCGTTACTAAATTTAGACTAATGCCTATATTCTATATATATATAATCATATCTAAATTTGGCAATAAGGAAAATCACATAAAGACCTTTTTTGAAAAAGTTTTTTTGAAATTTGAGCGCGTGGCGCAGTATCAGGAGTCTTTAGACCGAGCCAACCCATAGTTGAAATTCGTGTTACCTGCACTCTACCCTTAAATAATATTCATTTATGAAACTTTAAATAACTTTACTGAAAAATAGTAAATTTTAATTTGTGGATTACACAAGATCCAATTACAAAAAGAGTAATCTTTTCAATGAAACATTTTAAAAATTTAAAATGGAAGAACAAAATTAAAATCCCTTCTTCATAACAGCAATATTCTTCATTATAAAAAAACTTGGTTTATACATATACTAGCTGTTAATGTTCCATGTCTCAATCCAAAAAAGAAAATAAAATGGTCGTAAAGACGTTGCAATCATTTTTATATGATGCAAATATGGTAGCAAACATCATCAAAAGTTGCAGCCAGTATCCTTACTGGCTGTAGTTTAGATTTAGGTTTATTATTATTATGTCCAGTTTAAAGCTCCAAACGAGCTGAGCTTGAGCCAAGAAATAATAGGCTCAAGTTTGATGTTATATAAGTATT